TTGTATGTCTATCAGAGATCATTTCGAATTGCAACGAATATTCATGTTGTCTGATTATTTTGATCAAGTTAGTTTCATCTTAATATAGAATGGGTTGATTTTCACATTTCTTTTCAATCATTTTAATAAATAAAGAAATAGTTTCTTTCATCTCGAATCATGAGATAATCACCAAGTCTATTGCTAATTGAACTTTAAAAAACTCTATTCTATGTATATATAGATTTTAATTATTTATTATTTTCTTAAACTTATTTAATTTCTAATTAAATTTGAATAGAAGAAAGTGGTTGTGCAAGTCGTCCATGCCTACATAATTCAACATGTGAAAATTTAATTGGTACCAATCAATTATCAACTTATCGATGTCATTGTCGAATTGGTTATATCGGTCGAAATTGTGAAGTTGGTACGAATATTAAACATTGTTTTCTTTTTCTCTAGTTATTAAAATTATTCATTTTAAAAAGCTATTGTTACATCTTGTGAACGAAAACCATGTATACATGGTCAATGTTTAAAAATTGATTTATATACAGAAATTTGTATTTGTGAAGAGAATTGGACTGGAATTGATTGTTCACAAGCTTTATTCAGTAAGAATTGAAATTTAAAAAATCTGTTTTTGTTTTTGCTTTAATTTAATTAGAATTTTTTTTTTCTAGTTCCTGCAACAATTACTCAATTAGCTGATTCAACGAGAACATTTGATACTGTTACAAGAATACCATCTGTACCAATAGCAGCAATAAAACCAATGAAAAATTTAACACTTACACCTTTAACTGATGATTTACGTGATTATCTTGATTGGTTAAATGAATATTATGCAATAAATAGACTAACAAATTCATATCAATCAATTACAACATCAGCAACATTTCATAAAAATAGTAAAATAAAAATAAAAATCAATTCATTTTTCGAATCTTGTTTTTTATTTGTAGATTATTCGCCATGTTCAAGTGCCCCATGTCACCATAATTCCACTTGTGTTATTCAATCTGAACATAGTTTTCAATGTCTTTGTTCACCTTCATTTATTGGAGTCTATTGTGAAATTGGTAAGTTCTTATTTTTGTTTTTCAACCTTAAATATAATTATTATAATTCATTCAGAAATATTAAATATTGCACATTTTCGTAAGTTTAGTTTGAATGTAGAAAGAAAGAAAAAAGCATGTTGGAAAAATAGTTTATTTTTTCATATAGAATATTAGTTATGATAAAATTCTTTTAGAAACAAATCCATGTCAAAATTCACCATGTCAACATCAGAGTATTTGTGTAACAAAATCCAATCATGATGTACAATGTATATGTCGACCACATTATACAGGCAAATATTGTCAAAATCCTCGTATGTATTTTGCTTTTTTTTTTTACTTATTACTCATTTAAATAGAAATAAAAACAACAAATTTTAGCACCATTTAAACCACCATCATCTAATCGCCAATGTACTCGCATTTGTCGTAACGGCGGTATTTGCTTTGTAAAAATAGAATAACGAATTAAAAAGAGACCATAGCATTAATTTTTACTCTTATCTAGATTGATGAATCCAATAAAGAATTATGCATATGTAAATCATCTTATACAGGTTTCTACTGTGAATTATCAAAAAGTAATTGCAACGGTGAGTTAATTTGATTTGAATTAACTTTATTTTTGTTTTTAGTAAGTCATGACTTTCGAAAACGAACATCATTTTTTTCTTTCGTAGAATATAATAAAAGTATACAGTTTAATTTTATGTTGTTTTTTTTTAAATTTTTGTTTGTTCTCCTTCAAGAGTAAAAGTATAAAGTCCAAATAAGCACCGATTAACATATGATTCATGGTTTTGAAAAGTACCATATTATTAATGTGTATGTAAAGAAAGTCGACTAACCCTATAAAACTGGCAAACGTTTTTGTTTTTCCTCAGGCAACTGAAGAACGAGAAATCATTTGTGTGTGATAGATGTAATCAGACACTTCTGTTGTATATTGCATTCTGATTCACTGAGAGGTTTATTTTTATTCAGATTCATCATGCAATATTGATCCATGTATATCGAATCCATGTTTATCCAATGGTACATGCCGATCAATAATATCATCAATCAATTATACTTGTTCATGTCTTGAACAATATACAGGTGACCGATGTGAATTTTATATAGAATCAGATTCAACATATGTTTTATCACGTGATATTGCATTAAATTATGATGAAAATAATGCTAAAAATTCAACAGATCTTTGGCCATTAGCTATTGTATTTGGTTATGTATTTTCTTTAATGTTAGTTTTTATTATTATTTGGTTTTTATGGTATTATAAAAAAAAATCTAGTTCTTTGAGAATTTTATTTTTAAAGTGATTTATTATTTTTTTTTGTTAAGGTATGGATTAACAATTCGTCCTCAATCATATTTTCGTTCTGATATTCCATATGGTGAACGTACTACGGATCGTTATCAACCATATCGTTTAGGTGTTAGTAATCCACTTTTTTTTATTAATCAAGAATATAATTCAAATCCAATATCAAAACCTTTTTCAAATTAATACTTTCAATTTTTAGTGTGTTCATTTTTCTCTTTGAATACTTTTAGACATATATCATTTGTTTTGTTATTGAAATAAACACTTTTCTTGTCATTTTTCATTAGTACTATGTACACATAAAATAGGAAAAAAAACAACAACAGCACGAAAATAAAATAGATGAGCTATAATCATCACCAACAATCCTTTTTTTCCGTTTCCATTAAAGTAATATTTAATTTTGAGCTTGATTCAGAATATTCACGAAGAGCATCTGGTGCCATCAATGATGATGATGATAATGATGATGAATGAGGATCTGGATTCTAATAAAACAACAAAAACGAATATAAATTATTAAGAAGAAAAAAGAAATAATTCTATAAATTTTACTTTTTCTTCTTCTAGACCTTCAGTAGCATCACCAAAAGGTGCACCGGGTGACGTAGATCGGCTTGAATCTTGATGATGATCAATAAAAACTTCGACATAAATATCAGGCGATGGTGTTCGAGTTACATTTGTAGAAACATCAGCTATAGAAAAAGAATTTAATTTTTGTTTAAATGTGTTTGCTTTTTTTACCTGATTGTGTTCGATTAATTTTTTTACTATTATTCTGAATCAGTAACGATGACGATGAGAATGATGAAGACATTTGCGGTGGTTGCATGACAACAGGTGAACGCATATCCGGATGCTCAAGTATATTTGGTACACTTTTTCCACCATCATGTTCAAGAGAATTTTCATTTGCATTCGAAGTTTTTATTGTTGATAAACGTCGTTGAATTTCATCATCAAGTGCTGATGATTTTATAGTTACTTCAGGATGCTCAAAGATATGTTCATCACTTTGAGATGAATTTAATTGTCGACTACTATTTGATGATAATAATCTTCTTGAATAAAACAGAAAAAAAAAGAAAATTATTGATATTGACAAAACAAAAAAAAAACAGTAAGAAAAAAAAATTTACTCATAAAAATTAGCTAATTGCTGATCTTTATCATTATTGTTACTGTTATTATCATTCCAAGTAAATTGTCGTGTATGATGTGAACTAATATCTTGTAATGATGTTGAAGTAGACATTGTATTTGTTGTCGTCGTTTCTTGTGTTTGTTCACTTAATTTAACGTTTGGTATACGACGAACTGATGTATAATCAATTTCTATCGGAAAGAAAAATTAAACAATTCATTTAAGATCAATGTCGTATTTTTTTTCAATAACAACAATAAAAACTATCTACGCACAACTTATTGCTGCTCTTTCAAATGGAAAAATGTAAATGTATAACTCACGTATGTAGATTTACGTGCGTCATAAATAATCAAAGAGGAAAATAGTCTTATCGCTAGGAACCTATAACGTATGAGCTTGAAGTGAAAAAAAAAGCGTCTATTTTCTCTCTTTTTTATAATCGAAATCTTTACGCATTGAATCGTATTGCACAAAAGAAAATGAGAAAAATAGACGAAGAATTTATTGAGAGAAGAAAAATTGTCGTCT